TTCTTACGAATGCCATTTGGGCTTAAAAATGCCCCCGCGACATTCCAAAGAGTGATGGATAACATCCTCAGAGGAATTCAAAATGAAAAATGTTTGGTGTACTTAGATGACATCATTATCTTTTCAACATCCCTCCAAGAACACCTTGAGAGGTTAAGAGCGGTATTTCAAAGGCTAAGAGATGCCAATTTTAAAATCCAACTAAGCAAGTCAGAGTTCCTTAGAAAGGAACTGGCCTACCTTGGCCATGTGGTCACTCCAGAAGGAGTTCGCCCAAATCCTGACAAAATAAAAGCAATTAAACATTTTCCTTTACCTACTACCACTAAACAAATTAAAGGGTTCCTCGGTCTGTTAGGGTATTACCGAAGATTTATAAATAATTTTGCAAAGATAACAAAACCTTTTACTAAGTGTCTGAAAAAGGGTGCTAAAATTGAGCACAATACAGAATTTTTAGAATGTTTCGAATTTTGTAAAAATATACCAACAAATGAACCAATATTACAGTATCCAGATTTCGAACAACCGTTTAATTTAACAACTGATGCCAGTAACGTGGCTTTGGGAGCGGTCTTGTCGCAAGGTCCCATCGGTAAAGATTTACCAGTAGCGTACTCTTCTCGCACGCTTAACGACTCCGAAAGAAATTATAGTACAATCGTGAAAGAACTTCTATGTATAGTTTGGGCTACGAAATATTTCAGGCCGTACCTGTACGGGCGAAAATTCTTTATTGTAACGGACCATAAGCCCTTTCAATATTTGTTTTCATTAAAGGACCCCAGCTCAAAATTATTGCGCTGGCGAATAAAATTAGAAGAATTTGACTACACTATAATTTACAAAAAAGGTTCATTAAACACAAATGCTGACGCATTGAGCAGAATAGAAATTCATACTAAAGAAAATGGAAAAATTTGGGATGAAATAGATGACATATTACAAAACGTTGACGAACAATCACGGGACTTAAAAACCCCAGACATTAACGAAGTTTTACAACTAAATCAAAATTTACCAAACAATCCTAGGCCCCCTAGTCCTGACCTGGACACTATATCAATCTTTGTTAACCCCGACCCCGAATTAGAAGAACAAAATGTAAATGACGATATTGACGATGGTCAAACAGTTCACTCAAATGCAGAAGATCCTATAGTAGGAATACCTATATGTGATTCTCCTGTGAATCACGGCCAAAATCAAGTAATCATACAGTCTGTCTTTCATTCACCAGCCAAACCGATAATTAAAATTTTATTTGAACGTAAACAAAGAATTACTGTCCAAATTTCCGACAGTAATTTTGAACAAGACATAATAAATTTTATAAAAGACTACATTGCCCCTAACGTACAATATTATTTATATTTTGCAAAGTCTCAAATGTTTGAACCATTTTGTGAAGTAATTAGGAAAAATTTTAAATGGCCCTCACTTAAACTTCGGAAATGTAATTCCAAATTAATCGATATTACCACTAAAGCAGAAATCCCAGAAACAATTAAAGCTTTCCATGAAGGAAAAACTAACCACCGCGGAATAAGCGAAACTTATAATAAAATTAAAAATATTTATTATTGGCCAAATTTAAAGGAATCAATACAAACATATATTAATGATTGTGAAATATGCCAGCGTTGCAAATATGAAAGGAACCCTGTTAAAATCCAAATGAATATTACCCCCACAGCAGTGAAACCTTTCGAAATAATTCATATTGATACCTATACCGCCGAAACAGAAAAATTTTTGACAATTATCGATACTTTTTCCAAATACGCCCAAGCCTATCATTTAGTAGCATTAGAGTCAACAGAAATTGCTAATAACCTAATTACTTTCTTTTCCCATCATGGAATACCAAATCAAATAATAACTGATAATGGCACCGAATTTAAAAATACTGTAATCACAGAATTATTAGATCTCCACAAAGTAAAAGTGCATTTTTGTTCTCCGTACCATCCACAGTCAAACTCCCTAGTTGAAAAGGTACACTCGACCTTTAATGAACACATAAGATTACTAAACACTCGTGGTTTTAGAAAAACCCCAATCCGAATGAAAATGAAATATGCCCTTTTAGCTTATAATCATACCATACATTCGTCCACAAAATTAAAACCAATAGATGTTATTAATGGTCACTTAAAAACTGAAAATCCTTTCGGCTTAAACATGGACATGATATTAACTAGTAATTTTATAGAAGAACACAAAGAAATGACACGCGAAATGTATGCTAAAATAAATGAAAACCTAATAAAACAAAAAGAAAAGATTATCGGAAAAATTAATACAAATCGCGATTCCCCAGAATTGTTCAAAGTAGGCGACGAAACTTATATAAAATCTCATGAAAGGAAAAAGACCGCAAATAAATTTGAAAAACCCACTGAAATAACAGCAGTTAGTAAAAGTGGTAAAATCGTGGCTACATCCCTCCAGAATAAAGTCCATATGGACAATCTCAAAAGACCACGTCAAAGAACGTACTCATTTTAATTAATTTTTCAGGTTTCCCATTGTACTTGGGCTTCGGGAACAAATCTCCTTCAGAAATTTGGACAACAACTTAGCATTACTCCCCCTTAAGTTAGGCTCAGCAAAAATTGAAGAATATTCTTACAAAATTGTGCATTTTTATGATTTAAATCCAATAATAAACGAAATCGAAAAATTAAATTCTAAAACTTCTCAAATTCTATACGCGGTAAATAAAAATCAAAACTATTCATGGGATATCTCTAATTACATAAAAATATTAGAATTTACTATAGATAAAGTGGATACAAAACTATTTAACATTATTCCAAAACCACAACGTTCCAAAAGAGGTCTAATTAATGGGCTAGGTTCAGTTTTTGAATGTATTACAGGCAACTTAGATGCCTCAGATGGCGAGAGATATGAAAATTTAATAGATAATCTGCAGAAAAATCAAGAACAATTAGCGTCCAACTTAAACTCACAAATTTCACTTTCTATCAATACAATAAAAACTTTTAATGCTACTATTCAGAAAATTAGTCATAATGAAAAGTTATTAGATTCAAAAATAGAGCAAATCAAATTAATAGTTAATTCAGTAATTTACAGAGAAAATTCACTATTTATTAAGGATGTGATAAATCAAATTTTGAACATGTACGAAATAATTCTTTCAATATTGCAGGATATAGAAAACTCTTTAACTTTTGCAAGATTAAAAATAATGCATCCTAGTATAATGAAAACAACAGATCTCTTTTTAGCTCTAAAATCAATAGAAAATAAAATTCCAAAATCACAACTTCCTTTTGAAATTAGTTTAGAAACTACACAATTGTACGAATCCATAATAAAAATTGAATGCTACATTTATAAAAATAAAATAACCTATATTCTTAATATCCCTATAACTTACCCAGATAACTTCAATATTTATCATTTATATTCACTACCCGTCCCTCATAAGGGTCAGTTCAAGGTAATCATTCCCAGAAATAAATTCATGTTAAAAAGTCAGTTACACTTTACTTTTCGAAACGACAATTGCATCAAAATTCCCCTCAAAAATTACATTTGCGACATACAAGAAATAGAAGAAATTAGCAGCCTTACGCCCTGTGAGCTTCTTGTTTTGGATATGAAAAACACCTCACGATGCAAGCAAATTCATTTTCCTCTATCAAACTCAAAATTTAATCAATTGGGAAACACCAATAACTGGATAGGTGTATTTCCAAACGAGGAAGTCATAAAGGTTACCTGCAACGAACAACAAGAAGTCAAAAAGTTAAAAGGAACGTTTTTAATCGAAATTCCAATAGGATGCCAAATTCAATCACCACTAGAGACGCTTGCCAATGAAAAGTCAATAGCCAATAGCCAACCAATACTTCTTCCTGACATTAAATCACGAACGACACACTGCCATCCCTAAAATCAGGAGTGCCCTTAGAAGATATCAAGTTAGATCAGCTGTCAGATATCCTACACCAAGCTACAGAAAACCATCCCTTGTTTTGGACAACTGTTATATCCCATATACCCAGCGTGTGGACCATAGTCATCTATATTATGATAACGGGAGCAATCGCAGCCTTTGCCTACAAGAAGTTTCACCCCTGGAAGAAGACATCAACATCCCAAGGTCCAGTGGTGCCATCACCATCCATTCAACTCCCTCATCTACCCTCGTGAGTTGAAACTTCGGTGGGAGGAGTCATATCAGCCCTTCTGATGACCTTGCAGGAATTTCAGCGCAAACTGCCATCCTTGCAGTTTGCTTAGCCGGAGGTCCCTGGGCGAAGTGCATGGAACCCGGCGTTATTCATTATTAACCATTTATATAGTTAAGTCATATATTGCACATAAAATATTTTTGTAAATTAAATAATTAATAAAATTTGTTTTTAAAAACGGATTTCGGCTTCTTAAGTAGTTAATTCGTGGTTCTTTAATATTTCATTCTAAAAAAGCCAGAGACTACCATGAAGACATGAACGCTGATGTTTTCGAAGAATATTGTCAGCAGATGATAGAACATTTACCAAAGGATTCAGTTATTATTTTTTATCTATTCTTCACAAAAACCCATATTTTAACTCTGAACTGGTGACGTGGTTTATTTGTAACGTAACTGGTGACGTGGGAGCCCTGAGAATCCCCGAAAAAATCCCCCCCCCCCCCCTCCAAAAAAAGAAGAAAAAACAAGTAATTCGTAATTATCATCTGACAGTTAATATATTATAAATTTAGTAACATTTTATAAAACAATAATTTGTTTTGTGCGTGAGCAACTGCTCTTATTTATTTAAAAAATGTCTACCAAATCTTAAGTATTCATCTTTTATAGTTTCAAATTCATTTAGAACTAAAATTAAATGCATTTAAACTCCCACTTTAATACATTATAATTCATATTTTTGGAAGTTGTTCTTTTTTTACAGCAAGATCTTAAATTATGGAATTCAATAATTTTTAACATACTAACAATTTTGTCCACTTACTTTTATTGTAATATCCCATGCACATTTTATCGTAGGCAAGGAAATCATGTCCAAAATCTTCTGGAATTTCTTTGAGACAGATCGCTTCATTTTGAAAGGGTAACGGGATTCCTTGAAGCTCGTTTGAAGGTGATACTGAAGTTGAGTCTGGGAATCCCCAACCAGTTAGCTAAATAACCAAATACGTTTACTTAAATTTGCGACTGTTATACAGTAATTTAACCCTAACCTAACAAAAATCATTTCGCATCTCTCAAATACAGGGACGTCGAATCTTAAAACCCTAAAAGTTGGGAATTTTGAGATTTTACGAAGATGAGCTGGGATTTATGAGTTGCACGCAAACAAGAAGAAAGTAGCAGTACACTGTTGAGGTATGAAGTAAACACACAATGACATTCACAAACTTTTGGGTTTTATAATATTTATAATATTAACATAAAGGACTCTTAACAATAACATGTTTTAGCGTTTTATTTTCTTTTAAACTCAGTAATTTGATGAACATGTTGAAATTGTTCCAAAAAAATTACAAATTTATATTCAAAATAGAATTAATATGAGAACAATTTTCCAACAATTTTCCAACAATTTTCCAACAATTTTCCAACAATTTTCGAACAATTATCCAACAATTATCCAACAATTTTCCAACAATTTTCCAACAATTTTCAGACAATTTTCAGACAATTTTCCGACAATTTTCCGACAATTTTCCACCAATATTCAAACAAATTTCCGATAATTTTCCACCGATATTCAAACAAATTTTCAACAATTTTCGGGTAGGCCGTCAAGCTATGGTATTCCAACCATACAACCCTTGTCCCCCGGTAATTTGGGAAAACCGGTCAAAATTGTTAGAAAATTTTTGATTTTGCACCTTTTCCCTTCAATAATTTGTAACAACGCCCTTGTTCAAACCACATATGGGCTTTGTGTTCGTAAGAAATGTATAAGACTTATTTTACTCACCACTCCCTCCAGTTCATCATTTAGATCAATATTGCGAATATTTTGGTAGCAGACCGGTTGAACAACATTGGACAATGTTAATTGATCTTTTGTTATCAAAAAAGCGATATCCGCTGCGTATCTTAGATTAAGTCCTCTGTATTTTGGATTAACTAAAACCTTCATTACCTAAAAAAAAAGCATGCATAGAATCAGGCCCATGACACTCCCTGGGCGGGAAAAAGACGCGCAGCTTTTACTGCGCTGACGTTTTCGGGATATAACCTATCACTTGTCATAAATCCGGTTAAAAACTCGCTACCATGCGCAGGCAACCCATATTTCTTACACAAATATAAACTTTTGTTTACATTTGATCGAAGTAGTTTTTGTAATACATTCACAGCTTAAAAACGGAAAATTTGTTATTTTGATAGTGGATTTAGATCAAAAATACCCCAAATACAATGTGTGTTTTATCCTTATTATTGCTCGTTTTATTTGAGGACATTGGAATAAATAGAGTACTAAAAGTAATCAAGCTAAAAAGGTGTGTTATAAAAAGAAAATACATTGCCTTCGACTGATTTATGTTTAATATGTTTTCGTGAAGTATTTCCAACATGCTAGTTACTTGAATGGTTGTAAATTGTACGTGTATAAGTGATAAAAACATCTAGTGCTTTGTGCTTCCTTTTTCGACGGATTTTTACGTTTTGAGGTCCCCTGAATCCGTTTTGACTATTTTCGCGATGAAGAAAAAATCAATAAATTTTAAACTTAAGTTTTATTTCGGCCTGACGTGAAATGATTAGATTTTGGACAAAGTCGGAACATCAGGGGGGGTACTTTATGGGAGGCCGTTTTTATATTTTATGGAATATATCTGTTATTTATGTTTAGAGAAGAAAATTGTTCAAATAAAAGTTACTTCTAATATTATTATCTATAATTTTTGTTTTATGTAAAAATTTCCTGAAATGGTCCGTATTCGAGAAATTTGACAAAATGTGCAAAATTCTGATTTTTATGAAAATTGTTGAAATAAAAGTTGTTTGCGATATCGATCTCTATAATATTTGTTCATACATGATTTTTTTTAAATGGACCGTAATGGAAAAATTGTAGGAAAAGTGCTAAATTTAAATTTTTCAGTATTTTCATTATCAATGAATATCTATAGAAAAATGTTTCGCGGTAGATGTATGTGGACAATGTATATATTTAGTTTATCCTCTAAACATTTATAGAGATGCTGCAATAGGTTGTACATAATAAACGGAAAAAGCCTGTAATAACTAGATAGGAAAGTCATGTGTTGGACACATCAGATTTTTTTTGTTGGTGTCCCATCCCAGCATTTCTAGCCAGCAGTAGTAGCAAAAACATTAACATTGTCTACATTCAACCCATTTACATGTACATGATTTATCAGCTAAAAGCAGAATACAATATTTCTTTGCAAAATGTAAACAACGTTACAAGGAAAATTGCTCATGTATAAATTCAACAATTAAATCAAAATATATTATTTTTTAAAGGACTTATATCAACTATTATGTTGATTATAAATATTATAAGTATTTGTAACAAAATAATAGTTGTGTATTAATAAACCTGTTGCTACTCCAAAAAATATATTATTTATTGATTATCAGGTATCAAAAATATGTGTACCTATAGAAATTTGTTGAAATGTTCTATTGCTCTTAATCTTTTTAATGGATTCTTATTATAGTTGTAAATAAAAATCAACATTTTTTATCCGTCTATTTAACACTTACAAACGTATGCATATTTTAAGTTGTAAGGATCCATAGCCTCTTAATGTTTTACATTAGAAATGAGACCTGTGATGTCACATTAAATCATGAATATGAGGTAAAGGATTTGGGAGTTGTCTTTCAATCTAATTTCAAGTTCAATAACCATTTTTTACACATAACTAAAAAAGCAATAAAAGCATAAGGTTTTTAAATCAGAAATACAAAAAAAATTAGGATTACTCCATCTTGAGTATGTTTCACAAATATGGATGCCCTTGGAAGCCACACAAATTGATCATATTGAAAAAGTACAAAAAATATTTTTACGGTACCTTTATGTTATAAAAAATCTGATGTGTCCAACACATGACTTTCCTATCTAGTTATTATAGGCTTTTTTCGGTTATTTTGTACAGCCTATTGCAGCACCTCTATAAATGTTTAGAGGATAAACTAAATATATACATTTTCCACATACATCTAACTCGAAACATTTTTCTATAGATATTCATTGAAAACGAAAATACTGAAAAATTTAATTTTATCACTTTCCTTCAATTTTTCCAATACGGTCCATTTTAGAAAAATCATATAAAAATCAAAAATTATAGAGATCGAAATCACAAATAACTTTTATTTAAACAATTTTCCTAAAAATTTGAATTTTATTACATTTTGTCAAATTTCTCGAATACGGACCATTAAAAAAAAATTGTATGGATCCAAAATTATAGATAATAATATTGTAAGTAATTTTTATCTGAAAAATTTTCTTCTCCAAACATCAATAACAGATATATTCCATAAAATATAAAAACGGCCTCTCATAAAGTACCCCCAAATGTTCCGCCTTCGTTCAAAATCTAATGATTTCACCTCAGGCCGAAATAAAACTTAATTTTAAAATTTATTGTTTTTTTCTCCTATCCGTTTTTGAGTTTTCTTCAAAATTCGAAATTTACACATTTGCTCAAATATCTTGAGTACGGTCCATTTTAGAGAAATTATGTATGGGATAAAAATTATAGAGAATTATATTACAAACAACTTTTATTTGAACAATTTTTATAAAAAAATAATTGTTTTACATTTTGTCAACTTTCTCGAATACGGACCATTTTAGGAAAATTTTGTATGGAACAAAAATTATAGATAATAATATTATAAGTAACTTTTATTTAAAGAATTTTCTTCTCCAAACATAAATAACGGATATATTTCATAAAATATAAAAATGACCACCAATAAAGTACCCCCCCAAATGTTCTGACTCTGTCCAAAATATAATCATTTCACCGCAGGCTGGAATAAAGCTTAAGTTTAAAATTTGGTGTTTTTATTTGTATTGGTTCATGAGTTATGGTGGATACAGACACTCTCACACACACACACTGACACACTGACACACTGACACACTGACACACACACACACACACACACAGACATCATCCCGAAAATAGTCAAAACGGATTCAGGGGACCCCAAAACGTAAAAATCCGTCGAAAACTGGAGGTCGAAAAAAATCATGATTCCTATACTTTCCTTATCTGTATACAGATAGGAAAGTAAAAATACTTGTACCCTTATACCTAAGATCTCGTATAAAAATATGCTCAATTGTTTTAAGATTAAATCTCTTTTACAAAGAAGAAAGCAGCAGGCTGTGATATATTTTGTACTCTATTTTAAGTACAATAATTGTGAATTGATTGACTATATAAATATTAATGCGGCAAAGATTAATCTAAGAAACCCAAGTAACAAAAAATTATTTGATTTAGATCCAAGTAGTATATCTCCTTTTAACAAGATGATGGCTGTTACCAATGAGTTTCTTAGCGAGATCCAAATAGACATCTTTAATGTTAGCCTAAGAAAGTTGAGGACTGTACTAAATTAAGTTCACTAGATATAAAGGTTTGTTTTGTTTTTGGTCTTAAATTTCTTGATACTTAACTCTACATGTAACTACTATTAATTTTTTATAGTAGGTATCCAATAAATAAATTATACCTTATGGCTGCTTTCAAACAATTCTGTGTGTAGTCACTTAGTTTAAAGTCAATTTTAAATTAGTGGTTTTACAAGAATGTCAAATAGTAACATGTATTGTATCTATGAATTTGCTGTGTGTAGTAAATGGCCAATATACATATAACTTTGATATTTTTATCACAAGTATAAAAACTACGAAAACCATATACATATAGTTCCTATTTTAAAATAAATTCAAATTAATTCATAATAAAGAATAACGATTTTAGTCTGCCATACTTGAACTCATTCACAAAAACAAGTCACTGAGTATATATTTGTAAAAAAACTACACTAAATATGTCTCCGTTACAAATTGTTAAATTTAAAGCTACATACTTTCCTATAGATTTTGCAGTACCTAAATAACGTATAGAATAAATTTTTACAATATACTAGAAAAGTTTTAGATTAGAGTAATTCTTAAGGAATAAAGCAATACCTATATTTTGTTACTCTAACCTTGTGTGTTATATATTTCCCTTGACAAACTAACGTTATATTTTGAACTAAAAGTAATTAAACTTTTCACCAAAAAGTAATATTTCACATATATAAAAAAATTTAAAACGGTTCTGTCATTCTTACATTTGCGAAGACTGCCCTGATATCTAATCTATTTTCTTCTTCAAAGTAATTAAGTTGTTCAACCGTTGTCTATAAAGGTATCTCACATCTCCCTCATACACACGAATTTGAAAAGCAGCAGAACAAAAATTCAACTAACCAGGTATACCAAGTCCGTGTAAAGAAAACTTTTCATATCCCGAAAACGTCAAGTGTCAACTAAAATTTCTACTTTTAAAGATCAAACGTGCCGCCTCAGAGTCCCAATACTGATTGGTATATATCACATACTTTGATTACTATACGAGGCACGAGAGAGGTCCGACACGCCCAACATAGGGCGCGGCCATTTTGAACCCTGTGACACAGTTCACAGCTAAAGAATCAGATCGCTCACTCTGCGTCGGTACTTTGGATCTCAATGTTTCAGTTTATACACTGTGCAACTCGGATAATACAATATATGACAACCGCCTATAATAAAACAGCAGTCTTCTGCGTATCCTGAATTTGTATCCCTGGAGTGGATGTTATTTTGGAACTTTCAACTGGTCCGAGTGAGCTAACTGATTCTTTAGCAATAAACTGTGACTTCAAAAATAATATTCACTGACACTGACAGCAGCAAGCAAAATATCAGGTGCGTTTTAATCATCCGCTTCTGCTTCCGGAATTGTCGGTTTAGTCGTTTTAACCTGTGAGATTAAAACAAGAAAACCGACAATTCCGAAGCAGAGGCGGATGATTAAAACGCACCTATTAAAAATATTGCGCCAAGATGTAGGCAACACGTAATAAGGGTTCAAAATGTCGGAGTTTTCTATCTCCTTTTAAAAGGCACTCAGAAAGCTGCGCAGTGCGACCATTCTCCGTATAGTAAAAGAAAATCAAAGTATGTGGGTATATATACTGGGATCGAATAGATCTTCTTTCCCCTCCCTCATTCATCATTACAATAAATATCGAAACATAAGGACTTACGTCTGAGAATTGCGCTTGAGTATCTTTAGAATTATTGTAATCCTGGTAATATTTTCCAACTGCAATTTTTAATTTTTCCGCAGGTATTACATCGTTATCTGGATAACTGGTCACGCAATGAGCGACTAAAAATAAAATATGTGTTAAGATGATAAAACTGTCCTCTTTTTATTACCTAGTCTAAGGCCATAACCTTTTTTCTTAACCTCAATTTCTCTTCGTTTTTATTTGGTGGTGATCTGTTATATTTGGGAACAATTGTCAGTGGCCTCTAATATAAAATGCTGCTAGCAGAAAAACTACTACGATATTAGTATTTTTAATACAAATCCCGTTGTACGTCATCAATGACGTTGGTCTTTCGTCAAAGTACTACCAACTAATTCAAATGTAACTAACTAAGCTAATAATCCGAAAATATCACGAATATTTCACGAACATTCATGAACGTAGTCATATTACTAAAAAGCGATTATATGAGTGTGATTATTTTAACAATTTTAGCTTCGTTAATACAGTATTTTGAACGAGAGCGTGATAAATGATTTGTTATTATTATTATCTTTAACTCTGTTGTTAAGTGCTGTATGAGTCGTAAGTTAAAAATTATTAAAAATGTAGTATAGAATTATGAAATTGATTTCTTGACCATTTTAGCGTGTTGCAGCAACCCTAAACCTAATTATTTCTACTGTTAGTAGTATTTCGCAAAAATGAATGTATAAAATCGTTACTTAAAAAGCATTTATATAAACAAAGGATTACTAATACAATAACACTGGATAATAGTGGAATACGAAATGGTATTTATAACAACATGTATGAAATAAGTAAGTGTAAAGATAAATCTATTTATCCAATTATATTTCTGCCTCGTCTCATAAATAAGATATTTTGTCGACCCCCTGTATATGCTTCGATTCGACCGCATAGTTGAAAGCTGAAACCATTTACTACATTATCCTCTCCGCTGATCCCCTTATCCCAATAATTTGCTTCAGTCTTTGTTTATGTGCCGTAAATATCACATGTATATTATATTTCCTAGTAAATTCAAAAACCAAAAGTATAAATAAGACTTAACCTCATAATAAACATTTAAAAAAGTCGATACAGCAGTTCACCGCGTTTAGAACGTGTTCTACAGATAGTTTAGCGAGAAATTCTCAAATTGAATCTACAAAGTTTTTAGTATGACGAAGTGTTTCGATAAAAACCGCTTAAAATAATTAAAATAGGTATAAAATAGGTATACCTGTTACAAAGATTCTTTGGGTTAACATAGTTGCTCCGCAGAAATATTGAAATTCGCCAAGTACTTTTTTATAAACAGCAGTCGCCCATGGATAAATTGTCTTTTTCACATTCTTTCCATCCACAAAGAATTGCCTGGTTCTTTTTTCTCCGCAATCTAAAATGGAAAGAAAATAAGTTGTTTTTGGGTAGGTATTATAACATTGTTCCCTACAGCAATCAGAAACTATTAAGTGTCTATGGGATAATAATTTAACACCACACATAAAGAAAATCTAAGTTTTTTAGAACTGCTAGCAACATCTATGGTGAAGTAAGAAAAATCGGCGGAGAGTCGAAAACTAAATGCGATTTTGGAAATCATGAAAATGTAAAAAAAAATATATAGAATAAAGAAAGAAAAAAGGAAGAAAGGAAAATAAAGAAAAAAGGAAAAAAAAAAGACAAGAAAAAGAAATAAAAAAGAAAAAGAAAATAAAAAAGAAAAAAGAAAAAAGAAAAAAGAAAAAAGAAAAAAGAAAAAAGAAAAAAGAAAAAAGAAAAAAGAAAAAAGAAAAAAGAAAAAAGAAAAAAGAAAAAAGAAAAAAGAAAAAAGAAAAAAGAAAAAAGAAAAAAGAAAAAAGAAAAAAGAAAAAAGAAAAAAGAAAAAAGAAAAAAGAAAAAAGAAAAAAGAAAAAAGAAAAAAGAAAAAAGAAAAAAGAAAAAAGAAAAAAGAAAAAAGAAAAAAGAAAAAAGAAAAAAGAAAAAAGAAAAAAGAAAAAAGAAAAAAGAAAAAAGAAAAAAGAAAAAAGAAAAAAGAAAAAAGAAAAAAGAAAAAAGAAAAAAGAAAAAAGAAAAAAGAAAAAAGAAAAAAGAAAAAAGAAAAAAGAAAAAAGAAAAAAGAAAAAAGAAAAAAGAAAAAAGAAAAAAGAAAAAAAAAAAGAAAAAAGAAAAAAGAAAAAAGAAAAAAGAAAAAAGAAAAAAGAAAAAAGAAAAAAGAAAAAAGAAAAAAGAAAAAAGAAAAAAGAAAAAAGAAAAAAGAAAAAAGAAAAAAGAAAAAAGAAAAAAGAAAAAAGAAAAAAGAAAAAAGAAAAAAGAAAAAAGAAAAAAGAAAAAAGAAAAAAGAAAAAAGAAAAAAGAAAAAAGAAAAAAGAAAAAAGAAAAAAGAAAAAAGAAAAAAGAAAAAAGAAAAAAGAAAAAAGAAAAAAGAAAAAAGAAAAAAGAAAAAAGAAAAAAGAAAAAAGAAAAAAGAAAAAAGAAAAAAGAAAAAAGAAAAAAGAAAAAAGAAAAAAGAAAAAAGAAAAAAGAAAAAAGAAAAAAGAAAAAAGAAAAAAGAAAAGAAAGAAAGAAAGAAAAAAGCAAAAAATGCTTATCCAATCTTTCTCTATTTTCGTTTCACTTGTATTAGACTTTAACTCGTTAATAATAGTTTCAATTTCTCGTTCGGAAGTTGTAAATAAAATAAAAAAGTTGCAGACAGTAGCGTAGCCATGGGGGAGTTTTGGGGGTCTTCGCGTCACCGTTTCCGCTATCTTATTAGCGCTGAACGCTATTAACTGTTTTTAACCCCCCCGTCATAGTTCTCAGAAACCCCCGCATGAAAAATTTTTGGCTACGCCACTGGTTGTAAAAAAATTACGGGGTGCTCGATAGGTTGAATTTGGTTTAATATTTTCCAACATTTATATAGGTTCCATTAAAGATATTTGCAATTTCTTTGAATGAATTTTTTCCCCTTTCGAGTATTTTATTGAATTTATATATTTTTTTGTACTAAGGAATAAAAGAAGTAAATCTTTTAATGCCTTCTCTGCAGCATCTTTAACATTGAAACAACTCATTTTAAAAAATTAATTTGTTAAATACTTGAAATCAAACGAAAACTTATAATAGTATTTTAAATTGTCAAAATAGCAGCCTACTATAGTTGCACATTTCCAAAAATTGTACAATCCACTGGAGTTGTGAAGTATATTTTTTCTACGACCTGTTAAATAAAATTTATTTGCTAATATTATAAATATTTTTTTTTATAATTAAGTAAGTTGAAAGGTTTTCTATACTAGTAAGTTGCAATAAGTACATACTTTCTACAATAGGTGGATTTTGGGTTGCTCTTTTCCTTCGATAATAACCTCCTGATCCACCTCGTCCACCTATTCCTACTATATTTCCTCTAACTCTTCCACCTCTTATTACAATTCCATCCCCTCCCCTTCCACCTATCCAGTCAGCATTTTCTTCCAGTGATCCATCGTAATATCCTGTACCTTGTCCGTATCCTCCTCCACCTACAAATAGAATAATTGATTTCTAAAATTTTATTTCATGAATTTTATGCGTTACAGTATAGTTTAAGAATAGTTTTATCAATACCTTGCTTCCGGTTGTTATTTGAATTTGGGTATCTTCCATATCCTCCATAGCCACCTTGTCCGATTAGGCCTCCGTTCACTGATCCTCGGTCCACTACGACACCATTCCCTCCTCTACCACCTTTACGTTGTCCATTGCCTCCTGGTTGTCCAATTCCTATTCCGTAGCCATTTACTGTCTCTCCTGGTCCGATTACTAGTCCATCCTGACCTTTACGTTTATCTACAAAATGTATAAAAGATGAATACATTTTATTCATACTGCGTGCTTTATTCAATTTATAATACACACCTCCATAATAATTTTGTCCACCACCTCCCCTTTGTCCTGTATTTTTATTCCATCCAATACTTCCTTGACCGCCTCTTATTACCCCAGTTCCTCCTTGTCCACCACGCGCTTGCCCTCTTTCGTCATAATACCCTTCTTCTCCTGGACCAATTACTGTCTTTCCTCTACCCGATTGAATTACAATTCCATCTCCACCTCTTCCTCCTTGCGTTGCATATCGGTTGTAGCTTTGATCATCGGTGTCTTCCATTGCTACTACTTCTCCGTATGCATTTCTACTTAGTATTACTGCTCTTTTTACTTTGTTTGTCTTTTCTCCCTCATCTGCAAAAATAACTAATGTTTAAAGAAAGCTAGTTAAAACAAAAACGTCAGGAATTCAAAAGGGGATAAGTTTGAGGAAGAAATCATTGATTGACATAAAACAACTAAAATTAATGAGAATGAAGGGTTTCTAAAGACGAAAGAAAACTAACTATGGGTTCCCGAGAATGCTGAAAGCAGAATATAGGAGGAACTATTTTTGTATATAGATAGTTTAAAAGATAATGAAGAAGTATGTACTGGAATGTTTAGACAAAAGTTGAAAACTACGTTTTCGCTGAGTCCAGAAAAATATGCAACAATGTTCCAGGGGCCAAACTATAGATGATAGCTATATTATCAGAAAAAAGGATGACCATAACTTTTAATTCAAGTTCTAAAAAGCTATTTATGTTTAGAAAAAATATCAAAGGACCAAGTACTATACTTTGGGGTACGTCATAGTTAATGGAACTCAGAAAACTTAGGAAAACTTACACTATTATCCAATGCAACACTCTGAAACCTGTTAGTTCAATATTATCTTAATAACTAATATATTTTTGCTCGTGTCATAAATACAGTTTGTTAGATCATTTATTTCATCTTCTGTTGATTTGCCACCTCCAAAACCATAATTTCTCACAGAGAGCGTACAAATTTTTTCAAAAAAAGTTAATACACAATAATGCCACCAGCGCATGCATGCGCAGACTAACCTACGGAAAATGCGTTCATGTGAACGAAGGCATATCCACCCATTCATCACTAAGCTATGTAACCTAAGCGTCATATATGAAAAGTCATCTCACCTAAGGACGTTGAAGAAGCCTCTGGAGACTAAAAGACGAAGGGAGTATCCAAGATGGCGACCATCGTTGACGTGAACGAGAATAGGTAAACGCTGAAGAGAAAAATCATGAGCAGTAGCAATGTCAAAACGGCCTAAGTCTACATCTTCGTTGCTATTGGTCCAATTCAAACGGAAAAACAGTACTGTGTAAGAGGCGTATTATACAGGGTGTTATTGAAATACACGTACATATTAAAACTGGGTATTGCGCAGATCCCCACTGAATGTAGAAAAATATTATTTTTTAAAAATACCCCTTATTAAGGGAGTTATTAATTTTTGAAAATTAATTCTAAAACAAACGTACTTCATTGATATGTTGAGGATGACCTATATAAATTAGGTTTATTTACCTATTTTAAACATCAACAGTAATTAATATGCAAGTTTTTGTCAGATGATAAGAAAACTAGTCTTGTAAGAAATAACCATGTTGCCAAGATTTTCGAATTAATTTCTATTTCCGAAGACTGGTTTTTACTACCCTCGTTATCAAAAAACTAGAATATTTGATAAATGATTGTTTTTAAACTATACATTTTTGAAACTATAGATTATTAAAATTTTAGTTGATTTACGAATCTGGCTAACACGAGCGCGTTATTTCCAAGTATTTACGAATATTGAACTATATAGTGCTGGTTTATGGGGCAGCTGGAGAAAATTCTCGGCAAGCACAAATCCTGTATCGCGAACGGTTTCCAAATCGGAGAATTCCGGACTGTCGTACGTTTATTTCAACTGTTCAGCATCTAAGAGACCATGGAAAATTTGAGAGTGTCAATGCAGATCGAGGGAGAACAAGAACACAAAGAACATTGGCGGCCGAAGAAGAAATATTGGAAGCTGTTGAAAACCGGCCTCAATTAAGTTGTAGAAGACTAGGTCTTGAAATTGGAGTGTCCTCATTTGTTGTGTGGCGGACACTTAAAGAACAAGGTTTACATCCTTATCACATCCAAAAAGTCCAGGCCTTATATCCAGGTGATGAAGAAAAGAGAGTGGAGTTTTGTGAATGGATGATTCAAAAATGTGTTGATATTCCTGATTTTCTAAAAATATTATTGTATACTGACGAGGCTTCATTCACTCGTGATGGCGTGTTCAATATTCCTATCGTTAGCGAATGTAAAAATTTGGGTCTCATTTTAGATTCTAAGTTAAAATTTCAAAAACACATTACTGTTAAATTAAAGACATCTTACGCAAGTTTGAAACTAATATATGGACAAAGATATTTTTTGTCTCAAGAGGTGAAAAAGCTGTTGTGCGATTCATTGGTATTATCAAATTTCAACCACTGCGATATTGTGTACGGCCCTTGTTTAAATAGTTTTGAGTCTAGAAGAATTCAAAAATTACAAAACTGTTGTATAAGATTAATATATGGAATTCGGAAATATGATCATATTTCAACTAGTTTTAAGCAATCAAATTGGTTAAATATGTATAATAGAAGACTTCTACATCTTGCCTGTGTATGTCATAAGCTTTTCAATACAAATATGCCTGCATATCTGTACGATAAACTAACGTACAGAACAGATATACATAATCTTAATATTCGACTCAAAAGTATCCTTAGGTTACCAAGATTTTATAAAGCTGGTTTCAAAAAGTCATTTACCTATAACGCAACAATCTGCATCAATGATTTATACAGAAATAATCAGTTATTATTACGACTTAAAGCAAACACTTTTAAAAAACAATACAAGACTATTCTGTTACACCAACAATAATAAATTCTCGCTTCCAAAATGTTCCTTCCTCCTTCCTTTTTCCTCTTTTCCTCTTTTCTTTTCTTCCTTTTTCTTTCTCCTGTTCTGTCGGTCATCTTAATGTAAATTATTTTTATCACTCTGGCACTGGTGGAAGATCAGGAGTGAAGCGATTCACAACTGAACCGGTTGTAGCCATTTGTCCTCTTAGGTGTACTAAATATTGTAAATATTTTACAAATTATGTAACTGCTCTCTTTGTGTAAACTTTAAAGTTGGACAATAAATGTATTATTATTATTATTATTATTATTATTATTATTATTATTATTATTATTATTATTATTATTATTATTATTATTATTATTATTATTATTATTATTATTATTATTATTATTATTATTATTATTATTATTATTATTATTATTATTATTATTATTATTATTATTATTATTATTATTATTATTATTATTATTATTATTATTATTATTATTATTATTATTATTATTATTATTATTATTTATTATTATTATTATTATTATTATTATTATTATTATTATTATTATTATTATTATTATTATTATTATTATTATTATTATTATTATTATTATTATTATTATTATTATTATTATTATTATTATTATTATTATTATTATTATTATTATTATTATTATTATTATTATTATTATTATTATTATTATTATTATTATTATTATTATTATTATTATTATTATTATTATTATTATTATTATTATTATTATTATTATTATTATTATTATTATTATTATTATTATTATTATTATTATTATTATAATATGCACAATACGCATATTTGGAGTGATGAAAATCCTCACGCCATTAGGGAAACTGGGCATCAAAGAAAATTTTCAATAAATGTTTGGGCTGGCATAATAGATCAGTATTTAATCGGGCCTTATGTTCTCCCGAACAGATTAAATGGGCCAGGATATCTCCACTTTTTAGAAGATATTTTGCCAGTACTCCTAGAAGAGATACCGTTACAATTAAGGCAACGGATGTGGTACCTACTAGATGGCGCTCCTCCTCACTTTCATTTAAACGTACGGCAGTTTTTGAACATTAGATTTCCTCAAAAGTGGATAGGCAGAAATGGACCTACTAAGTGGCCTCCGAGATCTCCGGACTTAAATCCATGCGATTTCTTTTTGTGGGGTCACATGAAACAACTGGTTTATAATGAACCTATTAATAGTGTTGAACAATTAACCAATAAAGTTAATGCGGTAGCCGAGGAACTACGACAAAATCCAAGACTAATTTCTAATGTTCAAAGTTCTTTGGAAAGACGATTGCAAGTGTGTGTAAATAATAATGGACGGCATTTTGAACAATTACTGCAATAAACTTTATTTTGAATTAATTGGTTTTGCTACGGCAACAGTGCAATTTCTATGGGTAAGTTCAATTTCGATTTATTTTACTTCTTTAAATATGGAAACTAGTAGGTCGGAAAAGGGGACTCTTCCCCAATATTTAAATTTTAGAATTTGAAGTTAAAATTGGTGCCAATCGTTTTTGGTCATTACATACTATTCCCCATTTTAATATGTACGTGTATTTCAATAACACCCTGTATATTAACGCTGAAGAGAAAAACCATGCACAGTAACAATTTCAAAAGAACCTATGTCTACATTTTCATAGTGTAAGGTATTAGGTATCGGCACTGTAGCCACTGCCTGTCACTTGTTATATGTATACGGAAACGGGACGGTAGCCATGGCGGGTGACCGGCAGGCAGGTTTTTAGAGGTTAGTTTGGTTTTAAGTTTTAAGTTGAATGGATTTATGGTTTTGTATCAATGTTGTTGTGCAAGAATAAAGAACATCAATAATCTATTTGATCATCATTACCTCGCCTAAACAAGGTATCTTAGGGGTTAAACCCCTTACAATTTCAGAAGTTGGATCGGATATTTTTTTGTGAAAATAATATTTTAAGAAAAAGCATACAACCTAACCTAAAAGGGAGTACGTGTTTACGAATTATGAGATGAGCGAAACTAATAATAATTATAGTCTAGAAAAATTCGAAAATTTTGTTGGACAGCAACAGGCATTGTTAGGTGAAAATAGCCCAAAACCAACGATGCCGACCGGCGAAGAAGAATCAAACACAGGAAGTGTTGCAGATACAAGGACTTTGATGGACACAGTCACTACATTATTAAAACAAAATTCCGAAATGCTACGGCTACTTCAGATAAATTCTCAACCACCGCCTCAAACACAGCAGGTACAAAACATTAACATGATACCCGATATTTCCAGCAGCATTCAGAAGTTTGATGGTAATGGGGGCCCCGTAGCTGCTAAATTGTGGATGCAACAACTTGAAAATTCAGCAGCGCTGCACAAATGGCCAGAACCATATACTTACCAAGTAGCTGTTATGAACCTAAAGGAGGCTGCCGAATTTTGGTTCAAATCTAGAGACGATATCACAAATTGGGTTCAATTTAAGACAGCTTTCCGCAGAACATTTTTATTTGAAACCAACTAAACCGATTGTTGGAGAAAAATGCAAGACAGATGCCAAGGACAAAGAGAAAATGTACATAGTTACTTCCACGAGAAAATTTATTTATGTCACCAACTGAATTTAAATTTTATGGATACTAAAGAACAAGTGGTTATCGATTTGTGGTCCAAAGAACTAAGCAATTTTCTAATCGCAAAAGACCATTATGACGAAGATGAGCTATACAGAGATATTATCGGCTTCGGATGAATTGATGAAACAAGAAGAATGAAAAAGATGGAAGTTAGAAGAAGTGAGAGTAATCTAAAACCTCCTACAACCATTGAACCTAAAACGAGTAGAATTATAAAGTGTTTCAACTGCAACGAAGAGGGACATAGGGTGTCCGAATGTCCTAAACCCCCAAGAATGCGTAGCTCTTGTTACAGCTGTGGCTCTGGTTCCCACAGAGCAAAGGACTGTCATCAAAACCAAAGAGAATATGTCAATCAAATGTCGAGGCCATCATCAGGCATGAAGGTAACCAATACAAAAATAGTTTCCAGCAGTTCCAGTGCACTGCTCTTAGAAGAGAGAAGTGCTGAGGCCTACATAGTACCAGTAAGGTTATACAAAACTTTATTTTGTATTAATGTTGATGCAATTGTAGATACAGGAAGTCCAATATTCCTTATTTGTATAGACTTAGTTGAAAATTTAAATTTAGCACTAAATAATATTAATCAACATTTTGAAGGCATAAACAAATCAAAATTAGAGATATTGGGTTCTACAGAGCTGTTAGTGCAGTTTCTAAATGGGATAGAAATAAACTTAAATTTTTATGTTGTACGAAGCCACACAATCCTTATGTCCTTATGTTATTGCACTTATGCAAAATTTATGTCTTATGTATACTTATGCTTAATTTTATGTCTTATGTATATTTACGCTAAATTTATGTCTTATGTATACTTATGCTTAATTTTATGTCATCTATATTTATGCTAAATTCTATGACTTATGTACACTTATGCTGACAATTTCAAATTTTCTTATTTACATATGAATAATTACTTTATGTTAATTTTATTAAATAATTGGGATGTAAAAATGATATAATTATTTTCTTAGATTTTATTGATAATTATGATTGTATTTGTTACTTAGCATTGATTGGGGACAATCAATTTGTCAGTCTGGCCGAACTGTAAGGTATTAGGTATCGGCACTGTAGCCACTGCCTGTCACTGGTGATATGTATACGGAAACGGGACGGTAGCCACGGCGGGTGACCGGCAGGCAGGTTTTTAGAGGTTAGTTTGGTTTTAAGTTTTAAGTTGAATGGATTTATGGTTTTGTATCAATGTTGTTGTGCAAGAATAAAGAACATCAATAATCTATTTGATCATCATTACCTCGCCTAAACAAGGTATCTTAGGGGTTAAACCCCTTACAATAGCTATTGATCCGATTCAAACTTTAAAAACGATACTGTGTAGGAGACACAACATAGATTAACCGTAAAGAGAAAAAACATGCGTAGTGGTAATATTAAAACGGTCGAAGTGTATGTCTCAGGTAATATTGGTTCAATTCAAACGGCAAAAATAACGTTGTAAAGGAGACATGACGTAGATTAAAGCTGAAGAGAAAAATAATGCACAGTAGCAAAGCCAAAAAGACCTAAGTATATATCTTTATTCCTATTGGTCCGGTTTGCGTGTAACAAATAACGTTATGAAGAAAACGTGACATAGATTAACGCTAAAGAGAAAAGAAAAATCATGCGCAGTGGTAACGTCAAAAGGTCCTAAGTCTATATCTCAGCTAATATTGATTCGATTTACATTACATAAACAGCATTATAAAGTAGACAAGATGTAGATTAAAGTTGAAGAAGAAAAGCACGCGCAGTAGCAATGCCAAAGGGACTTAAGTCTCTATCTTCATTGATATTGATGCTAATTGTACTGGGTAAACGATAATCAATGTGAAAAGTCATATAAATTTAATGAATAACATTAAAAAGATGCGTGGTAGGGTTGGTTTTTCTGTAACTAAGGTCCTTTTGTCACTTAAAAAACAATCAATGACTTAACAGGTAACTGGCCAAATTTTTTTGTTGCAACTGTTATCTGTATGTCATTCCGTGTTAAGTACTACTTGTCTTTGTTAGTGTTGGTCAGATTTTGAATAAATTTAAAAGGTTATTGTTAAGCGACATGCTAATAATGATAACGTCATTCAATGTTTAAATATTTCTTTCAATAATCTTTGAATCTTTAAAAATTTTATAATTTCTCTTCTAATTTGATTTTTCCCTGTTGATTAATTACTTTCTAAATTATCTATAATTTTTTCTACTTTGTATTCATTTGTTGTATTGCAAGTTTGTACATTTTACAGAAACTACTCGGCTTTGAATAATTTTAATATACTAAGGTGAAAAATTGTTAGCTATTTTTTTAACAGATATAAGTGATTTGAAAGGATTTCCACGTGAAATGGTTAATTAATACTAATAGATACATACCGTCTAAACTAGGTTGATTTAGAGTTTCTCTTTTCCTTCGATAATAACCTCTTGATCTTCCTTGACCACCTATTCCTACTATATTTCCTCTGATTCTTCCATTTCTTATCACAACTCCATCCCCTCCCCTTCCACTTATCCTGTCTTCAGTTTGTTCCGGTAATTCATCGTAATATTCATCATATCCTCCTCTTCCATCTACAAATATATTAATTGACATATGTTCGCGTTTTTTTTTTTTCTAAAATAAAATTATATACAGCTTTTATTAATGTACTATATAGTCCATCCTTACCTTTACATCCATCTTTAAAATGTATACACTTAAGAATACATTTTGTACATACTACGTACCCTATGATTTATATGTAATACAAACCTCCATTATAAGTTTGACCTCGTGTTTGTCTTTCATTTCCATTCCATCCGCCTCTTATAACTCCAGTTCCTCCTTGTCCACCTCGCGCTATCCCTCTTTCGTCGTAATACGAACTCCCTTCTTCTCCTGGACCAATGACTGTCTCTCTTCTACCTGACTTAATTACAATTCCATCTCCTCCTCTTCCTCCTTGCGGCGTTGCATATCGTTTGCCTCTTTGATTAACGATATCTCCTGTTGCTATTACTTCTCCATATGCTGTTCTTTTTACTTCGTTTGTCTTTTCTTCATCACCTATACAAAATAGGGAATAATTTGGTAAGAGCAAGTTGAAACAAATGTCAAACGCAAAAATGGATACGTTTAAAAGATTGTGTATTGAAAACAATATATCGTTTTAATAATTTATCTTTTTGTTGTGAATTATCTTTAATATCCATTTTTGTATTATAACTATATTTTTAGAAAAATAATACTAACGCCACCTCATCCTAGTATACCATAGCCTAGTTGAGATTGAACTAAGGAGTAATGAAGAATATTCCTCAAAATCTATAAGATGCCATGAAGAAAACATCCTAATGTTTGACCGTTTTTGTCAGAAATAGAAAGGGGATCTACCGATTTTTGGATTAAAACGTGCACTGATTCACCGAATACCGACGCGATATGCGTTCTGTGCAAGCAAGCGAATAAGTACGCTTATGTATGATGTTCGTGCACAGTGAAATCACGGTGGCAAGAATGAGTAAGGCCAGAATAGGATTTTGCCTCCAATTTATCTTAATTTTTTCTACAAAATCCAATCATTTTGAAAATTTATTCGTTATACTTAACTAATTAAAAAAATATATTTTCAATAGCGTAGCAAATGTGCTTTACTTAGGGATGGCGGAGCAAATTATTAAATTGTATTTTTTTAAATATATGTTGTTTCTTCGTTAAATATACTCATATGGTAAATATACAAGGTGTCTTATTGGTGCGTAATTGTTCAATATTTGTGTTGTAGACACGCAAATAAGTTTTAAATAAAAGTACATTTTAAAAATATTTTTGGATGTACAGAGTGTTGCGTTTTTGCATGGCAAATAAAAATGTATGTATTTTAAAAAGAACACCCTGTATTTTATTTTTAGAATGATTTGATAATACTGTATTTAATCCTAAAATGTTTTTAAAAAATATTACAGTGTTGCCAAGCAATTAATTTTTTTTTGAAATTAGAAAATGATGCAGACCCCCAAATTAAATTATCATAATTTTGATAGGTTTACATTGATTTCAAATTGTTTAATATTATACCGACTTATAAGATATTAAAATAACGATTACTAGTGATAGAACTGGTTTATTTTATACAGAGTGTTTTAAAACATGGCTAATTTTAAGTTCAATTTACAACATCCTGTATATTATATTACCATAAAATTCCTTATAAATTTGCCTATACAACGATAGCAATTATGTTAGCCAATACGATATACAGGGTGTCCCAATAGTGCGTAATTGATCGATAGCTGTTTTATTATTAGAAATATGAAAACATTTTTAATATAATAGTTTTATGACCATATTAAACATTTAATTTTAAATATACAGGGTGGTCCATAAACGAAGTGCTGACCAAATCTATACTTTTTTAAAGCAAAACACCCTGCAGGTAGTTATACATATTTAATTCTTCTCACATCGTTATACAATTTTAGTGGACTTCATTCATTTGCCATGTTGTATATAGGGTAATTCATAACGTAAAGTTACGATTTTCACAATTTTTTTAATGGAATACCCTGTATTAATTAATTGGTTGTATAAAATATAGGGTATTTCTTTTAAAAAATTGATTGTCATTACACATCCTATATACAACGTAGCAAATAAATGAAGTCTATTAAAATTGTTTGACGATGTGAAAACAATCAAATATTTATAACCTGCAGGGTGTTTTGCTTTAAAAATGTATAAATTTGGTCAGTCTGTCGTTTATGGACTACCCTGTATATTTATGAATATTTATTAAACAAGGTCATACAACTTTTATATTATTTTTTTTTTTTCGTATTTTCAATAATAAAATAGCTACCGATCAATTAAGTACTAATTATCTTTTGTAGGACCTCTATTTTTTTTAGGTGCGTTGACAGAATTCCTCCCCAGTCAAGTATACCATACTGAAGACGAGACTCAACAAGAGACGTACACTTTTTAGAACATGTATACTTTTTGATAAACATTTAAGTTTACTTAACAAGTGCCTTAATGTCTTTGATAGTTCATTGATATGTTTGTTCCATTTTAGATGTTGATCAATGACGACTATTTAATATTCTCTGCCCTCCTCACATTAACGACCAGTCCCTGACTATCAAAAGATAAAATATGGAAGCTTGGCAGAGTTGATGTGTAGTTGACAAACGAGACAAAATGAGTTTTTCAAAATTTATGATCAAACTATTGAATCAAGTTGGAAAGATCTTTGTTTTAGATATATCCAGATTTTTGCAAATTAAACGATTACTGTATCGTCAGCGAAGCTGAACATATTTCCTGCACAATTTATAGTGTAACTGTTTATGTAGACTGAGAATAAAAGAGGACGCAGTACTGTACCTTAAGGAACACCATACTCAATTTTTTTCTTCTTTGCTTGTTACAGTTTTTATTCAAACATTTTTAAAGATATTCCTCTTATTCCAGATGTTTCTAAGACTTTTACCAGCTTTGTATGATTAACGGTGTCTAGGGTTTTTAACAGATCAAAAACGCATAAAATCGACTCTTCTTTGTCTAATTTTTTGTAGATTGTTGATGTTAAGTTGGAAATTGCATCGATCGTTGACACTCCCTTTTTGACCTTGTTGAATCCAAGATATTTTGAGTGAAATTGTAGATAAAGCTACCAAGCCCATATTTAAAATACTATCTATTTTAACTATTAAACCAACCGATGTAAAACCATTACCTAAGGCTTGCACTAGAAAACCCAACAGAAAATCAAGGGAAATCAAGCGTCTACACCAGAACACCTGAAAAGGACAGAATTGACGAATTGGAAAAAATAAGACAGGCAAAGTTGGAAAAACTAATACTAAGAGAAGATCGGTGTTAAAAATTGCATCAAAGAAAACAGAAAATGGCAAACAGACAGTAAAATTAAAGACAAAATACAAGAAGACTAAAGTGTTCCTGGATAATATTTCATTTTCTGATTCTGAAATAGACTTACCGCTAAATGTCAAAGGCACAGGCGGTGGGTTTAAAAACAATTTGTCTGAGTCTGACATTGATTTAGATTTTGAAGCTAATGATGGCCAAATTATGGAACTTTTAAATAATAAAAAAAATCCTAGAGGATGACTGTTTAGCGAAGTTTGTAAGAAAAAAATGAACTGTACATTATGTTGGAAAAGTAGTTGAATTATTTGAAAATGAAGAATTTCAAGTAACGGTTTTAAAGAAGCAATGATTTATATTTCCACAGATTGAAGATATTTCCAGTGTTGAAAGAAAGGATGTTTTATCAAAGTTGCCCGAACCTTCGATAACACCAGGAACATCAAGAATGGCCTCCTATCTTCAATTTGATATTAGTTTTTTTGGTTACGATGTTCAGTAATATTATAAAAACTAATTTTATATTTTTTCCAGCCTAATGAATTTTCTAAAAAAAAAAAAGTTCCTAAAAAATTAAACTTGTCCGAAACTGCTCCGTCCTTTTCTGAAAGTGCCCCATCATGGGGCAGGTCCGGACAATGTCATAATTTTGCAAAGAAAATTTTCTAAAAAATCATTTAGTTTTTTATTTAGATTTGACAGGAAAACATTAAGTAAACATAGCTACATTTACTCTAATTTTGCAAATCTTTACATCAAAAAACAATTAATTTGAAAAAATTGTCCGAACCTGCCCTCTTCTCCCCTATTATTGCAAAGTAAAGTAGCTAAGCAAAGGTAAAATGCCAAAAAGGTTTTATGGAAATGTAATCTAACTTGGCTTTGTGACTTGGCATTCCTGGTAGACACTTAAAGTACCTGAAATGCGGAAGGTGCTTCGCTTCACCTACAAGTTGATCAAGCTTCAAGAAGACTTATATTTGAAGTCTAAATTTGATGATGTTGAACAAAGCGAATTTTACAAAACATACCTTATAAGCACGTATAAATGTAAGAGCCTTTTTTCAATCATTAAAAATAAACATCGTACTCTGCTTCCACATGTTGATCATCTTGTTTCTCAGCTTCAAACTCAAGTCTCTCATAATTTTCATTTGATTTTTTTATCTTTTGTTATTAACTTGCTTTTTATGTGTTTGAGCATAATAATTATGCTATTATTCACTACTACCTACTTATTTCCTGCCTACGGCCCGCGACTTAAATTAAGTCCTGAAATTCCGACCTCAGCTAAGCAAAGGTTACCCATATCTGGTTTAAGCAATTGTGAATTACTACCGAAAATTACCTATAATATAAAACCGAAAATGTTTTATACATTTTCATTTCAGTAGCTTTTCAACTAGTCGTCGTTTATTCTATTTAACCTAATCATCTGTTTTTATGTAATGTGATTCATACTTGGGTTAGGAAGAACCCTGACATTCAAGATTTTTTATAGCTATATTTTATTATTCAAGGTCTCACGTTGTACTTACTTTTATTTTTTAGTAAAAGCAAAGAAAAAATAATGTCTGGCTTATTTGGAGATTCAAAAATTATTTGTCGTGTTTCAGATTCATATATTGTGTTGACCCCTTTATCATAAAGTGCATTAATTTTCCTTATGCATATTTTTATCATAAACATTAACTAATGTTTATTATTAATTTGTTATCTTGGAAAATCCATTCAAATTTCGAAACATTTTATTTATTTATACTTTTATATCAACAATAATATAGAGAGGTTTGATTCAATTTGTATTAATTATTTACAGTGTGTCCGTAAAGTATGGAACAAATTCATTTTTAGCTAAACAGACAATTTTAAGAAATAATCCTGAAACACGTCGATTTTTGATTTTAATTTACCGTATTTTAAAATAATCATCTAATATACGGGGTGAATTACTTTCGAGTAATGACGTCACCGTCATTTTTTTTAAATGAAACATCCCCATTTTGTCTCAATTTTTGGATTACTCTAGCTGAGCTGAGTCCAAAAATGTATCACATGTTGATTCCAATTGGTACAGGGTGGACTTGTGGTCTAGCAGACAGAATATGAAAGAAATTATTTCTTATCAATTTTGAAAAAACATAGTCGTCTAGTTTTTTGTGAAATGTCATTATTTG